TCCCCGCCACTTACCCTGCTCGTCCTCGGCCGCCGCCATCCCGGCTCCGGGGAGAACGCAGACCAAGAGAGGCGAAGTCCCGGCCGGATGGCCTCCCGGGGACGGAGGGGAGAGGCCTGCGGCGGCGCCCCCTTCTCCGCCTGCTCGAGGCCCCGCTCGCCCCTTTCTCTCGCTCTCTCTGCGCGTGTGCGTCGCCGGGGCGTCCCCCGCCCTCTCGCCCCGGAACTCCGATGCGCCGGGTCCTCTTTTCCGCCCGGAGGTGTTTCTCAGATGCGCCGGGGCGGGGTTTAGCCACCACACAAGCTTGCGGGGCGCGGCTGCCTCCCGTCGCGCGCCCAGACCCGCCATCCCGGGCGTGAAGGAGGTCGGGAAGGAAGGCTCTCGAGGCGAGGGCTTCTCCGGGGCTGGTTCCTGCCGCCCTGCGCCCAGTCAGGAGCCCGCGGGCCGGGATAGCGGCGGCCGCACCCCGGGCGGCTGCAAACAGGCTGCGGGGAGCGAGGGGCTTCGGTTCCGTCCGCGGGCCCCCGCTGGGGCGAAGGCTGCCCTGGCTGGCCAGCGTTGCCCGCCCTCTTTCCCGGGGTGCCTGGCCTCGCCGCTCGCTCTCGTTCGAGCTCATGTGCCTCCCGACGTTTACGTCATGTGCTTCCGAGACAGCGATGCCGATGGCGTTCTCTCCCGCCTGTCGTGGAGGAGCTCAAGGCGGGATATAAAGCGGACAAGGATATTCGGGGGCGTAGAGAAAAATACCTCTCGAGGAGAGAGGTATATTTCTCCGCAGACGCCTTTTTGGCCAGTTTTACTATCTATCCAGTCTTCTACCTCTTCAGTAGGACCTGCTCTCGGGGATGCACATTGAAGGCTGCCGTGGTCTAATCAGTTGGCTGGGGGTGAACTCTTGAACTCAGTAGGATAGGTGGTGCTACCGGGTTTGTGTGGACTTGCTGTGGCTGCTTTTCCAGAAGCGTTGGAGGCAGTGCAGTAAAACCGCTTTCTTCGTTGTCACCTCTCTCTTCGTGCAAAAATGTTATATGGCACGTCGTGATGCAAAGTGCAGGCTCAGTAACCAAACTGAGCCTTTGCTTAGGTGTTGTAAGTGCCACATTATTACCAAGCAACTGGTTGTAAGTGAGCTTTTACATACTACAGAGCTGTGTGTATGGGTGTACCTGCCCTTTTGAAATGTATTGCAGTTTGCTTTTATTAAATAGAGATGGGCGCTGGGACAGACTCAGGATATGAGGGTGTCATTTGGCCCGAAAATGTAATACTGTGTTCAGATATGAAGATAGCATCCTGTGAAGTAATAATGCATGATGGAGAACTATTTTACTGTCCATCTCATATTTTGAGCCTGCTTTTAATTGTTCATAATTCTAGCCAGCTTTTTTTGTTGTTGTTAGCAAAACCACCATCAAAACAAACACAAAGGACTATTCCGTCTTGCTCTTTTAAGAACTGGATTACAAATGGCCTGTCTCTTCTGGAACTGAAAAGGACCTCTGTGCCTAAATCTTGCTATTGTCTAGGAGGATTGAAAATAGCAATAGCCTTCTTTGGAACTGCCCACACATCTTTTCCTGCACAAATGAGTGCACAGGTGTTGTAACTAAGGAAAACAGTCTGGCCAGCTTGTCAAAAAGACACACAATATATTATTTGGAGCCATATCCCATCACTAATATTACATTGTTTTAAAATAGTGAAAATGTAGGTTAGAAATATATTCGTATTCACAGCCAACTTCTTCCCCCAAGTATTCAGAAAAATAATTAAAAGGCTTACTTCATTTCATGAGAACACCAAGGCCCAGACTTGGGTGAATCTCCAGATAAAGAAAGTTCCAGAACAGAGGAGACTCTGCTGTTCCACACGGCTCTTCTAAAGAAGAAGAAATAAATCTTGGCCTCCAGGAGGCCTCCAAAGTTCTTATCTCCCCATTCAGCTTGAAAGGCTAATCTTCACCCTCTGAAATCTTGCTGCTGCTGTGAAATGATAAAATATTTGTCCCTGCCAACAGTTTCTTGGAAGCGACAGCGCACCAGTGGGCAGAGCCCTCTGGCACTCAGGACCCCTGTAAGGAGAGGGACGGCATGTCCTGTGTGGCCCAAGTGCTTGGCATTCTCCTGATCGTGGGCTGTCTGTAGCGCTGACAGACCAAGCATGCAGGATATGTGTGGGGTCAGCTCCTCAGCTTGAGCTGTCTTTCCCAAAGGCTGGGAGGATGGGTCTCCTTGAAGAAAAAAATTCGCAGTTGGTACATGCTATGCACACACCTCTCAGCACCTGGCTTAAAAATGTTAACAGGGTGCTGAGAGTAACCAGTGTGTTTTGTTTCTAAAGGCTTGCCCGGTGGTGTGGGCTGTGATGTGGCCAGCAAGCCCAGTAGAGTCCAAGGCAGGCCTACTGTTCAGGAGCGGGAGGCTGATGGGGTATCTGGGGAATCCATTCCCAATGGGCGCTTGATGGCACGAGCCTGTAAAACCAAATGAAAGGAAATTGACAACGTGGCACTAGGTGTACATGTCTATATTGCTGCTTTGAGCACCTGAACGTACCTGCCACGCTATAAGCAAGGTTGTAGAAGTGCAGAAGAGTAGCGAATACAGCAAAACAAGGTTTTTTAAAAAGGAAAGAAAATACAGCAAAATGTACTTTACACAGTTGGGCATGCATCTCCATACTCTTCTTCCAAATCATCCTTGCCTCTACCGTGTTATTAATACTATTTCATATCTTGCCTTTTGTTCCATCGTGGTTCTATCATTTGGTGGTATGTCTGTTAAAGATGCAAAACTTTCCAAAAATGCTTGTCCTACATAGGTAACATGCTTTATTTAAGAGCTATAGACCTGCAGCGAGTGCTCTTAAAATACATTCATCAATTTTTTATTTTGCATTTTATTTCAGTTCTTTTTTTAGAGGAGAGATTTATTTTAGAAGAGATCTAACCAGTTTTGTCCACAGTCCTCTCATACAGTTCTGTGCTGTGGGAATGCTTTTCTGCCTCTCCTATTTTCCGTACCCGCATGACGCGGTGGTCAAAGGATCCAACCTGTTTCCAAATTTCTTCTCGGGCATGAGGAAGAATGTGGAGCCAAGCTTTTGTCCAAATGCCTATTTCCGTTTTATTGGAGGCCTCGCTGTGTTGCTTTAATGGTGAAGGGAAGACCCTGGGCATCCGTTTATTGATTGTATTGTACTGTAAAAACACCCCTGTATTCTCAGTCAGTTGGGTCACAAGTTCCAGGACATCTCTGGCACTGTCCATTACAGTCTGAGTTGCACCTCGAGTCCCATCTCAAAATTAATCCTGCCATTCCTAACTCACAAAGATGAAGAGGCATGGGCCTCTCTCCAGTCAAAGTAGAAAGCTAAGAGGGGATCGGTCATGTGGCCACCTCAGCTGACCCAGAGAGTGAATTGCTGCCTTTGTTTTTCCCAGCCGTTGTTTATGTCCTGGACAAAAAGACTGTTTGTCATCTCTGCGGACACAGAAAAGTCCAGCAAAGAAAGGAGAGCCTGTGCAAGGCTGGTTGCCCTGTGAGATTGGCCCAAATTTTGTTTTCTTGGCTTTTTAAAAATTAAATGCTGGGTTTTTGTTTCTGATGCAATGTTTGTGCAAAAGGCAGCTGGGGGGGGTGAGAAAGTCTTGTTTGCAGCCTATCAGCTGTTTACACAGATCAATAGGAAAAGAGTTGTTTGTTGTGGGTGAGGCAGCAGGACTGGTGTGTACCTGACCAGATACTTGTCCCAGGGACAAAAGAGAGAGGGGTATGTTGGGGTACAAGTATATATTGTGTTGCGTTTAAATATCCACACCTAAATTAAGGGACATGTTTTAAAAAATAAAAGTCATGGTTTATGGGGAAACGTAGACTGTCAAAAAGGCTGTTGGAGTAATTTCTTCTTTCTTTTGCTCTTCCGTAGATTCTCACCTAAAAGCAATGTAATCTTTCTTTTGGCACCAGCAGCAGGACTAGGGCATTTAGACAATGTCCTTCCAGGCTGGTAAGAGCAATTCCAACTGTCCTTTGGGCACTCCACCAATTCCAGGGAGGCTGCAGCTGAATCTTTGCCACCTTGAACTCCCGGGAATGTCAGCAACTCTTCTGCTGATCCTCGTCCAAGGGCTCCTCCAGGGTATGAAGCCAGGGTGGATTTCCGCTTGGAAATACCACTGGGGAGTGGAATCTGGGGGGGGGGGTTTGTGCGCTGGGAACCATGGGTCTTCCACTGAAAGTAAGGGAGAAGCCACAGTATTAATGTGCGAATCATCTTCTATGGGGTCTCTCCCCCAGAAGCTCTGCACCACGAACAGACCAGAAAAGGGTTTCGATGCTAGCAGGGTAGGGAATCTTGCAGCCGCGCTTGTGGCCGTGAGGCTGAGCGGAGGGGCCCAGTAAGAAGGATAAGCAGGAGGAGTGAAAGGCTCCAAACTGATGCTGCCTCTCTGGGGCCCTCGGGCAGGGGGCGGGGGGGGGAGAAGCCAGGCTCTTCCTGAGACTGCCCCCAAGGGATAGAGCCCCCCCCCCCAGGAAATACTGTTCACAGCAGTATTTCTTTCTGGCCAAAAAGCACTGAGTATTTGCAGAAGAGTTTCTAGACACGTGGTGGGCTTAGGAGCAGCCGTGTGGCTGAACCACACGCAGCAGCCCACGAGGGCTCATTCCCTTCCTTCTCCTGCGCATCAACAGCAGCAAAGCAGCGGAACGGCAGCTTGTCTGTGGAAAATAAAACCAAGCCACGAATCCGGTGTGGAGGGAAGCCGGCTGAGGCCAATTCCACCTGGGTCTCCTTCGGTTAGCACCGCCCGGCTCGGCTCGGCCTAGCTCGTTCTCCCAAGCCCAAGGGAGCCCCTGCTCCAGACTCCCTCCTTTTCCCAGTTGAGGGCTGAGCGGGCTCGCGGCCAGCGAGGAGAGGAAAGCGGCAGGACCTCGGACCCGTGCGCGCCGAGGGGGCCCGGGGTCACTTGGCTCCTTGCTTGCTCGGCCGGCACTGCTGCCAGAGTTGCCCCGTCCCCAAAGGAGCAGGCCCACCTGGCCAGCGCTCTGGCCACGGGCACGCTAAACGTCTGGTGGCGTTGCCCGTTCCTCTGAGACGTCGGTTGCGGCCACTTTTATGCGGTCCCTGGGCTGACCCTTGGCCCGCGAGGACCGGAAAGGAAGTCCAAGACACCCAAACGCTTTGCAGGGCTCCCTAAGGATCCCAGGAGCCCCGCAGAGCCCGGTCCGCCGGCAGCTGCTCCTAAGCCACTAAGGCCCTCCCGGGGAGGCAGAGCTGGCCATCCAGCCCTGAAGCGGCACCTTCCTCTTGGTGAAGCCCCGGTTCAGGCCCCCCCCCATCCCCTGGCTGGCTGGCTGGCTGGCTGGCTGG